GAGTCAGAACTGATTTGATAGCACTTAACAACAATAAACAACAGCTAACGCATAGACAATGAGCCCTGGTATGACACTGCAGGATAAGCACTGGTCTGCTAACCAGATGGCTGGTGGTTCATACCCACCAGCCATCCTTGGAAACGCTATACAGGGTAGTGATGAGTCAGAACAGACCTGATAATGAACAAAGTAACAATAATGTATATGAACTCATTCCATCATCAAAACCATCCTTCCAGGTAAGTGGAATGATTATCCCCATTTCCCAGAGTTTAAAAACTGAGGAACAGAAAAGCTGAGTCACTCACCTAAGGGCACACAGTGAGTGTGGAGGATTGGAACCCAGGCCCTTGTCTGGAGCCCACGCCCCCTCTCTCCTTCCCATCCCAAAACATCTCAGTCATGAAAGAGCCCAACTCACTTGCTCTTCCTCAAGGCGTGCTCCACGCTGTGCCCACGGAACTTCTTGTAGTAGTCGATGAAGGAGAAGGGCAGCGTGATGTTCAGCGGGTTGGTCCGGTCCGGGGCAGCCGCCCTCTTGCGAGACTCAAAAGCAATCATTAAGTCAACCCAGGCTGCAGGACGCTTGATTTTGAATTGTTCGATAAAATCTTCTCCAAATATTTTACACAGAAGCTTTTCAAATTCAAAATCTACACCTAAGGAGCCATAAGGTCCACCTGAGTTGAGGACAAAATGGGAGATGCTGATGTTAAAACCGTCAGCTGCTGAACCCAGACTCTGAGAAATATGAAGCAGTGTTAACTTAAGCTCACGTTGTGAGCAGATTATAACTCTACTGGTTTATTTTAGCTATTGTGAATTGCGTGAAGGGTTAAAGAAACAGTGGCGTTTCCATTCAACAATTCCTACACATTTTGTTTCATGCCATTGATTACAATCTCCACAATGGAGTACCACTTACCCCAAGTCCTCCCAGTGTCTCATTTCCATTCCTCCTTCTTTCCTAACCCTTCCTGCCCTTCTGAGCTTTGTCCTTGGGCAAATGCTGCCCTTTTGATTCAAATGGTTGATTATTCTAATGTATGCATGCCACCCTAATGTTGTTGTTATTAACTGCTGTCTAGTCAGCTCCAGGGGTCCTGGTGTGTCTTTGTGGATAGCCTTAGGCTATCCTTATTCCATGTGAAGAAAGTTTTTTCCCTGCAGAAATCACCAGTCAACCGTCTGGTTCAGAATCAATTATAGGTCTAACCTCATTTTACTGTGCTTTGCAGATACTGCGCTTAGTACATTTGAAGGTTTGTGGTAACCCTGTGTGAAGCAGGTCTGTCTGGGCCATTTTCCCAACAGCATGTGATCACTTCATGGCTCTGTGTCACATTCTGGTCAGTCTCACAATATTTCATATTTTTCATAAGGCTGTTGGTGTTGTTAAGTGCTGTTGAGTCGGTTCTGACTCATAGCGACCCTGAATAGGGTTTCTAAGGAGTGATTGATGGGTATGAATCGCCCACTTTGTGCTTAGAAGTCCTGTGCTTATCCTATAGCATCATACTAGGACCAGAACCCAAAAAGTTCATGTGGCTCGCTTTATTGTGGTGATCTGGAACTGAAGCTGCAACATTCCCGAGGTCTAGCTCTGAACATCATGGTTTTCCCATCTAAAAACTCCAAGGACAAGCAAATCAGCGGAGAATCCTCTATTGGTCCCTGTGGTGTACAAATTATGCATTGCCCTCCTCCCCGCTAAGGTAAAGAATGAGTTTTTAGGTTTGGCAATCTTGGTCCCAAATCAGGTGTCTTGGGGCCTCCCTGGAAAGCTAGTTTTAGCAGCTAATCATGGATGGCATCTGGTTACAATTACATCCTTCCAGGACTCTCAGAAACAAACTCCCTCAGCCAGGATCGAAAACAGTCTCACTCTATGCCAAAAGTCAAGCGCGGTGCATTGTGTTTTAATGAATGGTTAACTATATTCTGTATTCCAAATTCAAACAGGTTTTAGTGTGTCCGATGGCACCTAACAACAACAACAACTATCAACAAGGAATCCGGGTGTGGCGCTGTGGGATAATGCGCCAGACTGCAAAGCCCTTTGAAGGTCTGCAGTTCAAGCTCACCAGCTGCTCCTCAGAAACGCTATACAGAGTCGCTATGGATCGGAACCAACTCAATGGCACTTAACAAGAACTGTCAATAAGCCCCCACCCTGGTGGCTATGAGAACAACCGGAACAGGCTGGAAACCTCACAGGCGTAAGAACATCAGTCAAGCAGTGGCTTACCTGTGGCTTTATACAGCTCCTTAAGGTGTCCCTCTGGTAACCGTATCTGATGAACGGTCAGGTCCACAGTACCACCTCCACTGTCCACAACCACATACTTGTCACCTAGTACAAAAACAAACAGTCACGCTTTATATACAGCTTGATCAACCCCACCCTGAAACACACCGAAGGGTGATGTTGGTTTACTGAGCTAATCACCATCCGCATTTTTCATTAGGACAATGACTTTGCTAATTAGCAGCACAGAGAGTTAATCAAGATTTCAGCGAAGGCAGGAATGTCTGCTCAGGGGCAACAGTTAAGCCTGAATGATAAAGAACCCAGACAAGTAACTCTTTAGCCTTCTTGTCACTGTGCTATTCACCTGGCAAGTCCACCACCGACCAATCCCTACCATATTAAAAGTGCCATAAAATTACCGGCTATTTAGCACAATTCCTGCCTCCCCTAGGAAGAGTCTACAGGATCTTACAACATGCAAACTGCAGCCTCACAGGGAGCTCTCCCTGGGGGCATGGGCTCTAAAAACAATTGATTTTGAACAGGTCCCAAAAGTACAGAAGGAACAGATAGGGATGCATTTTTGCAGCAGCACAAAAAAATATCCAGCAAGATCAGAAGAATTTACAAAGACACTACCTTCCTCCAACTCGGACCAGATCTCTCCTATGACATTCTCCACCAAAAAGGTCCGACTCTGCCGGTTACGCCGGATGTGTTCCTTAGCTAGTGACCGACAGAGAGAAAATGATGATGGGTAAGAAAGCATCAAAAAGCAGATAGTCAGCTGTGTGGTCAGTGGAAGCAGAGGCATGAGGAGGTTCAGGGATGGAACATTTAGTGATATTTGATCAAAGTGATTCAGCAAACACAACACCAGGAATTACAAACCCAACCCTGCCAAAAGCAAGTCTCTCTGCCCACCAGCTCTTTCCACTTCTCATCTACTTGGCAGCTTTGGTCTGTGCCCTGCTGAAAGGATTAATCTGATGAGATTCCCTTCCTCCAACGACAGTTTTTTGAGGGAATGGTTACTAAAACCGGCCAGTTTCCAGGTTTCTGCTGCTCCAGGGAGGAAGCCTTCAGCCCAGCAGCTTACAGTGCACAAGCTTAGTTAAACAATTTCACATCCAGGAACTCTGCCTGCTGCATGGAATGTGGGGTGTGTTTTCCTAATCTGGAGTCCTGGTGTGGCGCTGTGGGTTAATGCGCTGGACTGCAAAATCGGTTTGAACCGCAAGGTCAGTGCTTAAAGCCCACCAGCCGCTCCTTGAAAGCCCTATACAGATTCGCTATGGATCGGAACCCACTCAACAGCACTTAACAACAACATTCTAGGTGAACTGGATGGGAACCATTTTCTGATCAGGCTGAAGCCAATATGTGCTATAGCCACCAGGTGGCGTTGCCACCCCAAAGAGCGGTGTGTAAGTCACGGGAGTCCCTTCATGCCTTCAGGAAGGCTGTTGGGGGGGACCACCTCTGATTGCATCCGCAGCCCTGACTAGCCTGGGCTAGCTGTGTCTGTGGCACCTTGCATGGGGGATTTTATCTCTCACAGCCCTCCCAGCAGTCCTGTGAAGCACCCAGGGCAGAAATGACTGTCCTCATGATTAGATGAGGAAAGCAGGTCAGGAGAGGTTAAGGGACATGTAGTTCTCAGGGCACTGTCCTGGCGCCCAGCCTGACAGTAACCCTTGAACAACAGACCTTCATAGCCAGGAGATGTAACAGTTTGAAAAAATGAGAACAATGGGAGGTTAGGATACAGAAAAGGTGCTGTGAGAAGGACCAAGCAAGGTGGGGCCAGACAGACTTTGAACACTTAACCCTCTGGACCTCAGTCTCCACATCCATGAAATGGGATGATGATGCTTGGCCTAAGTTCCTCACAGGCCAGGCAGGGACATCTGTCACGTAGGAGGTGATAACAAAGACAAAGCACCTAGTAGATCTGTTGTTGTTGTTGTTAAGTGCCATCGAGTCGGTTCTGAAAGTCTCTCAGGTTCACAGCGCCACACCAGGACTCTGGTACAAATGATAACTTCTATAAGGGGTCCGGGTGTGGCGCTATGGGTTAATGCCCTGGACTGCCAGGTCAGTTTGAATCACAAGGTCGGCGGTTCAAGCTCACCAGTCGCTCCTTGGAAACCTCATACAGGACCACTATGGGTCAGAATTGACCTGACGGCACACTTAACAACAACAACAAATAGGGTGGCTGGGACTCCTGGTGTGGAGCTATAGGATCAGCACTGGATTGCGAACCACAAGGTTGGTGGTTCAAATCCACCAGCTGCTCTTTGGAAACCCTACATAGGGTTGCTGGGAGTCAGAATCGGCTCAGCGGCAATGGGGAGGAACAATTTAGAGTACCCCCTGATGCTGCTGACTTTGAGCGGCCCTACAAATCCCTCCAGTATCGCATCTGTCCCTCTGTTGAAGTGGGTTTCAAAAAGTTCATGGAAAATAGAATAGAAAGCTCACGGAATTTCTCCACATTTTGAAGAGGTGACTCTGTAAGATAAGCACTGGACTGCGAAACACAAAGTTGGCAGTTTGAACTCACAAGCTGCTTCTTGGGAAAACAAAGAGGCTTTCTGCTCCTGCAAGTCGGAAACAAATTCCATGGTACTAACAACAAGTGCTGTGGGCTAATGCGTCAGACTGCAAAGTCATCTGAACTGCAAGGTCGGTGGTTCAAGCTCATCAACTGCTCCTTGGAAACCCTACACAGGGTCGCTATGGGTTGGAATCGTCCCGACACCACTTCACAACAAACAACAACATATATATCCCCACTACAGCCTGCACCCTTCTGTTGTAGCTTGTTGTTAAGAGCCATTGAGTCAGTTCCCACTCAGAGCGGCTGGTGAATTTGAACTTCTGACCTTGCGGTCCAATGTTTATCTTACAGCAATCACACAGGATTCCACCTTTACATCGTGTCCTTGGTCATGATGCTCTCCTTCCACAAACACAAGGGGGCAGTGTTTGCAAAACAGCTTCTCTGGGGATTACAATTAAAGAGCACCTGCAGGCCTGGGAGGGAGCCCCAAGTTTGGGGATTTCTCTCTTGTTCCCAGCATGGGCTCTAAATGAATTTATTATTCCAGGCTTTGGAGTGAGTACTGAGTTTCCCAAAACAATCTAGATGGCTAACTAAATGGCATTCATAAAAAATGGCCAGGCGAGGCTAATAAAACATGCTCTGAGCTTTCAAAAAAAATTAATTGTCCCATTTTTCAGGCAAATTAAACCCAGTATTGTGGAAAATGTATCCTATATTGATCTCATTAAATTCTCTCAGAGCGATATGGTAAGTTTGTGATATGAGGGACGGGGAAAGAAGGCTCCTACTCCGCGTTTCCCTCAGCAGAGTCCAGGAGAATGGGCTGCACTCTCAGAGCCTTCTGGGGTACTCTTGGTAAAGAGATCTCTCAGTACCCTTGCAGCATCTCCTCCTTCTGGGGAACAATGTTCTGAGGCGAAAGCAGTGCTGAGACTGGACTCTGGGCCTCACTGCTTGGATGATGGTGGCCAACAACATGAGAGTTTCAAAACCACTAAGGTTCTTCAGCAGTGGGAGACAACACCCACTAAAGTGCGTGAGCCATAGGTCACAGAGGCAGGGCAGTGTGGGGAGGGGACAGAGCTGATAAAGGAGAAAAAAACAAAACCTGAGCTTTGAGGAAGGCCAGCATTCAAAAGCAGGTGTGTTTCCCCAGAATGTGAGTGTGAAACTTAAGAAAAACAATAAGGAAAGAGAAGCTACAATTAGCGTTGGCATGAGTTTCTACTTACTAACAACTGGGTAAGACTCAGTAAGGAAGAGTGAAAAGCCAGTCTTTCTTCTTATTTCCCATAAGGAAAGAAATAAGGAAAACAAGGAAAAAAGAAATGTAAATAAACATGTCATCTGGTGTGTAGGAAATGTGAACACAAATTCTGAAAAAAAGCTCCCCTGACTTAAAGGGTAACCTGCTCTTCTTCAATCTGATGGAATGGAGCTGATGAATGTACAAAACAGACTGGGGACAAATAAACTCTTGCCACAGTCTTGTTGTGCCTGGGGGTAACCGACTCGGAAATCTCAGGTTCACAATGAGACAGGGGGGCCTTGGGTTGAGTAACTAGGTCACAGCTGTGACGAGGAAAAGGGGGTCTGGAGGAGGTCACATGGCAGGGCTGGTGGTTGCCAAGGGGAAGATCCAGGGCTCTGGGTGTTGGGACGGAAGGAAACTTTCAAACAAGGTTAGGGGATGTCTTCCATCCAGGTCAGGATCAGGGTGCCCTAAGCTGGATGTGGATCAGAGCTCAGAACTGGACCCATGCATGGTGCCATTCCCACGGAACTGCCCATTTGCTCCCAGCTGATCAGTTCCCATCTCACATTGGTGACCATGACCCTGACCCAAACTCTGTACTCCCCAGAGCCCCAAGACAGCAGTTCTGGGAACTGACAGAGCTGCTATCAAGTTGATTCCAGCTCATGGAGACCCCATGTATGTCAGATAGAACATGTACAACCCTTCTCCACTGACGCAGTTAATAGGTGACCATGTGCCAGAAGGAGTGCTGGTGGCACTGTGGTTAAGCACTGGGCTGAGAGTCCCCAGCCACTTGCTCTGAGGGAGACAGGTATGGCTGTCTACTTCTTAAAGATTCACGCTCTCAGAAACCCTGAGGATCAGCTAGCCTGCATCCATAGGGGCGCTCTGAGTGGGAACCGACTCAGTAGCAGTGGGGTTTGCTTTTCTATGAAGAGAAAGCGTTCCTTCCCCTGGAAGGCATCACCAGGAAAAGTCAGCTGGATTCACCGTTATTCTCCACAACTTGATGCATATGAGGCACGCAGAGCTCAGCCCAGATGAAACAGTCTCAGTGAGTGAGTCAGCGAAGCCAGCAGTCTTCATGAAGCAATTAACAACAGGCAAGTGGGATTAGACTAAGAATCCGTTAATAGACAAAATCCAGAGCCAAGGAGGATAATGCAAGGCCCTGAACTGCTCTCAGGCCACCCTCAGGGTCTTGAAGAGAAGCTCTCTACCCCACTAAGGCACTTGGGTAGATGCTGAATCCAGATAACCACCGCTTAGTTTTCAGGGGTCCTTGGAAGGGACAAGTAGGGACCCAACTGCCTCCCGGGGTTTTAGGACTCAGAGTCTGAGGCAGAGAGCCATCCATCTAGGGTGGGAGGGAGAGAGGAGGGAGGGGGACAGAGAGAGCGTGGTACCCTGTGCAAACCCAGCTCCTACTGTGTCACTGGCGTTGTACCCATTCACCACGGCCTTGCCGCTCAGCTCCATCATCTGGTGCAACCGCAGCTTCCGGCAGTAGATGGAGGCCGCCTCTGGCTCCAGGGCAATGATGAGCTGATCCGAGTTCTCAGGGGAGGCCAGGCCCGCCTGGAAGACAGAAGCAGAGGTGGGGCACTTGGAGAACAGCCACCCCCAAGATCAACACCCCTTAGGAAGGGACACTCATGTTCTGCATTTGGGGGCCGACTTCCTCTGCAGACCTCCACTGAGCATCAGTCAGGAATGGGGGATCACCAAAGTGCTGATCCCTAATCCAGGTACCTCCAACCCTTCAGGGTGGGCCAAGGAGAAGGTGGGTCACACTTGACAAAGGCCAGGACCTCTGGGCCATGCAGCTGCTTACACTGGGGCCTGCTTAGCCCACAGCAGAGTCCCTGAATGGTGCCAATTATTAAGTACTTGATTACTAGCTGAAATGACAGCGGTGAAACTCACCCAGAAGTACCTTGGAAGAAAGGCCTGGCAATGTGCTGCCCACACAGTCATTTGAAAATCTGATGGAGCAGTTGTACTTTATGTACATGGGGTCACTGTGAGTCGAAAACAGTAGGTCCCAGAACTGAGCACAAGAGGGGAATGCAAAGAGAACAGACTGTGGGGGTACAGGTGGGGGTCTTGGCTCAAGAGGCAGGAGGAACTGAGTTGTGAAGGTCCCCAAACTTTCACATAGTATTCTAGAACTGAGGGCGGAAGATCAGTTTCCAGTTACAGTTGGACCAAAGGATCCAGCCAAATTGGAGCAAACCAGTCTCTGCTGGCTGAGCAAACTACACTGAGGAGAACGTCACAGTGAGCCCGGGGTCTTGGTATTGTTGTTGTTGTTAAGTGCCGTTGAGTCAGTTCTGACCCATAGCGACCCTGTACAGGGTTTCCGAGGGTGTAAATCTTTACGGGAGCAGAAAGCCTCATCTTTCTCCCGCGGAGCGGCTGGTAGTTTCGAACCGCTGACCTTAAGGTTCACAGCCCGATTCGTAACCACTACGCTACCAGAGCTCTTGGTATAAAGGAAAGAAATTAGGTTACGGTCATTCCTCCTACTACATTCCATCAACCTACAGGTGGCATTTGCGAGAGCAGGACGTTCCCATGGCAGAGAGTTACTTGGGTCCAAGCAGCGGGAGTAGGGGATAAGAAAAGCAGCAGTCCCAAACCCATTCTTCACCTACCCACACCTGCAGAACTCTGACTCGGAAGTGAAACACGGACATGCTTCTCATGGAAACCAATCGAGATCTCAGAGGAAGAAACAGCTTAAGAAAAAGGCAAGCTTGAGGGCGTCTGAGTGGACCTGGGGTGTGACTGGCAGCTAGATAATCCCTCAGGGGACCAGCCCCACATCCTGAGGACTGACCCAAATATGGCCCAGCGTACTCTGCCAGAAGCAGCAAGGGGTGGCCCCCTAAAGGGAAGCCTTTGATTTGTCCTTCCCCAGCTGGGCTGGCTAGGACCCAAAGCATAAGCTTTGACCCATTTCCATTCAGGGTTTCCTCAAGGTACCTGCTGACGGGAGCAAAAGGGGACCCCAAAACAGAGTGGGGAGGGGGAAGGTCAGAGTGGGCCTGCAGTGTCTGGGAAACCCCATCAAAGCAGTCACACCCCTTTTCTCCAGCTGACCCCATGAGGCTCCCCAGCAAGAGGGTGGGGGTGTGATCCCCCCAGCAAATTCCCACGGAGGCCACAGAGCAGAGATGGTAGAGAGACCAGGCCAGAGGCAGGCAGCTCTTGACAGAGTCCAAGGGGCGGGTCCCAAAACTGCTGTGGGCCCCCAGAAAAGGAAATACAGACGAATCCCCCAGGCTCTGGAAAACACGGATGTCTTTATCTGGGGGCCCAGAGGAGGTTCTTACAGGAAGTGGAAGCTCCATTTTGCATAAATACTGCAGTTTTCTCAGCGGAAGCTCTCACCCCGGCAGTCAGAGATGTGGGTCTATCTGCCCAGGGCCCGCTGGAGCAGAGAACTAACTCCCTTTGCCTTTTCTAATCTCCCTTAGGATCTGGGACCTCAAGGCTACTGTCGGGAAGGTTAACAGTCTGTCTCCAGTTAGGGATGCAGGACTGTGTAACCTCTCCTGTAAGGTGAGAAGCTGTGTAAAGGCCATCTGAGGTGTACAGTCTGTGCTCAGGAGATGACTACTGAACAAGGTGGACCGACCATCCCCCCAATCACCAAGCCGGTGGCCATCCATCAAGCTGACTGCCACTCACAGCCAGCCCATGTGTATCAGCGCAGAATGACAATCCACAGGCTGTGATTTAGAGGCTGATCTTTCCAAAGTAGAACACCAGGCCTTTCTTCCTGAGCACCTCTGCATGGATTCAGTTAGCACCCAATTCCTAAACTGTTTGCACCCCCCAGTCCTTACTCGGCAATTTATCTTCCTTGTCTCTGTTGAATATGAGCATTCCGCAGCCATGACCTGGAGATTTTACCAAAGGAATGTGTATGAGCCTAGAGCGTGCTCCAACTCCTCCGAGGATCTGGGACATCAGAGTACTGCTGTAGCTAGAGGCTTCCTCCGTGAACACGTGCTCCTAGGGGAACCGCAGGTGAGACACCCGCACACATTTCAGGGAGGCTGAAGCGAAGGTGTTTACACTGACAACCCAGCTCCCCAGTTCTGCATCTGCCGGGAAAATCCACTCTGGGACCGAGTGCACAGCTGAGAGGAATGACCAGATGGATTAAGTGCTCCGCTGGCCTGGTGTCAAGACGAGAGAGGGCTGCCAGGCTGAGCCCTGGATGTGAGGGCTGATTCTCCTTGGTATGATGATTTTCCACTGTAGTCTGTTCAGGAAGACGGGCCAACGCAGGCTGTGTCTTGGTGTTAGATGAATTCATCGTATGGGAGCATCATTTCTTTAACATGTTTCATTTTATACGTTTTAGAAATAAATTGGACTATTTCCCACCCATGGAAATTGTTCCATGGAAACCCCAAGGTTCCATGCAACAATCCTCCCACTAACATTCCGGGTCTTCTCAAAAGAAGATCAGCTGTGCTTTTCCTACCATCTTGAGACTTGGCTTCTGTTAAAGGGTCTAACGTTGTCCCGAGTCTGTGGGTTGTAAAAGAGAGATGGAACCCATTTCTTCAACAAGCTCTTGCCACCCAAAGAGATCTATGAGCCCTGATGGAGGGGGGAGCTCCCAGCAGCCATCCAGTGTTCCCCAACTCTCTTAGTAAAGCACTCCACTGCAGAACATTCTTCTGGCTCTCCTGTCTGAAGATGGGTACACAGGACACCCTTGGACTGGAAGGGTTGGTGGGCACTCATCACCTTCTAGAAGGAAACAGATACCCATCTAATTAAACACCACCAGCTCTTACAAGGACTCAGTGAGAGTGCCCAGAGATGACCAAGCCCAGAACTGTGTTTCTTGTTCACTTATGTATCTTTCTTATTCTGTATAATACAAACCAAGATGGCCAAACTTCGTCTTTCATACTTTGGACATATTGTCAGGAGAGACCAGTCGCTGGAGAAGGATATCATGTTTGGTAAGGTGGAGGGTCAGAGAAAAAGAGGAAGACCCCCAACAAGAAGGATTGGCTAAGTAGCAGCATTAATGGACTCAAGTAGTAAGGCTGGCTCAGGATCGGGCAGTGTTTCGTTTTGCTGTGCAAAAGGTTGCTATGAGTCAGTACTGACTCGATGGCACCTAACAACAACAACAAAATAATAATAATAATTGGTGGTGGTGGGAGAGTCCTGTTTAAAAAACAAAACAATGCCACTGAGTTCATTCCCACTCACAGGATCAAACAGGACAGAGGAGAACTGCCCCACAGGGTTTCCGAGGATGAAATTTTATAGAAGTAGATTGCCACATCTTTCTCTGGTGGATCGACTGGTGGGTTTGAACTACTGACCTTTCAGTTAGCAGCCAAGCACTTTAACCAGGGCTCCAGGGGGAGATGCTAAGCTTAGCTACAGGGTGATGTTAAGTGCTGTCAAGTTGGTTCGGACTCATAGTGACCCTGTGTGAAATTCCTAGGGTTTCCAGGGAGCGACTGGTAAGTTTGAACCACTGACCTTGCAGTTCGGTGCTTATCCTAAAGGGTCACACCAGGACTCACAGGATAGCAAGCGTCATTTAGTTTTTTTCCTGGGAACTCCTCCAGAAAGAAGAGTTGGTATGGGTCGGTACCGACTCGATGGCACCTAACAACAACAACAACAACCTCCAGAAGGTGGGCTGAAGAGACCCCAGAGAAGCTGGTAAAGCGCTCCTGCCCACCCCCAAAAGTAACAGAGGTTTCAGTGAATGTTCAGCTAAGAGAAACTGGAGAACAGGGTCTTCACTGTTTATGTGAATTCAGTTCCTACCACAGCGCTTGGCTGGTGCACTGACGGTCCACAATGCTGTTGTGATTAGCTGCCATCCACTCTGCCCCAGATTCAGGGTAATCCCATTCACAGAAGACAATCGCCGCCCAGTCCTACACTATCCTCTGATTGGTTGTAGACTGAACCATTGTGATCCAGAGTTTTCATTGGCTGAGATTTTACAGGGAGCTTACCAGGCTTTTCTTCCTACCCCATCTTAGTCTGGTTGTTGTTGTTGTTGTCAGGTGCCATCGAGTCGGAACCGACTAGTAGCGACCCCATGCACAGCAGAACGAAACAATGTCCGATCCTGGGCCAACCTCACTACCGCTGCCACACTTGACATCATCAACAATGCCACCTGGCTGATCCATCTCGTTGGGGGTCTTCCTCTTTTCTCTGACCCTCCACCTTACCCAGCATGACATCCTTCTCCAGCGACTGTTCTCTCCGGACAATGTGTCCAAAGTAGGAGAGACAAAGCTTAGCCATCCTGGCCTCCAAGGAGCACTCTGGCTGCACTTCTTCCAAAACACATCTATTGGTTCTTTTGGCAGTCCATGGCACTTTCAGGATTCTCCTCCAACACCACAACTCAAAGGCATCAATTCTTCTACGATCTTCCTTATTCACTGTCCAGCTTTCACATCCATATGAGGTTATTGAAAATACCATGGCTTGGGTCAGGCGCACCTTAGTCCTCAAGCTGACATCTCTGCTCTTCAATACTTTAAAATACTTAGTCTGGTAGCTCTGTGAAACCAATTCAGCATCAGAGCCACACACAAGCCTCCTCCTATGGACGGACTTGAACCTGGGTCTCCCGCATGGAAAAGTGAGAAGACAGAAAGTTTGTTTAAGTCATAAATGAAGAATGGGACAAATGAATTGTTGAATGATCTCTGCCATCTTTAAATCCATTCAGTGGCTGTAAACTGAACACAAATATCAAATCAGACAGAGTCAGAAAGTAAGCAGCAGACCAAGGTCACCAGCGTGGAGAGATCCGAAAGCAAGTCCCCACGTCTGTACACATTGGACACCTCTGTCCCTGACAAGCTGGCTCCCTCACTCTGGGGGTGACACTTTGATTCCCTCCCTGCCATATCCCAGGGTGCCAGGTCCCTCTGCTTATTTTCTTCCTCAGGGTCCCGCTGCAAGGGTCCACACTCCACCTGGTCCCCACCCACTCAAGAGAGACTGTCCTTGTCAGCCCAGGGCTCCAGCACCCTGACAAATTCACCACCATGACACCTCTTTCCTTTCCAAGCTAAAAATAAGAAACGTCTCTTTGATGGGTCACGTGCTTGTTGAAGTCTTCCTGTGGCTGGAAAATAGAAAGTCCAGACCATAAATCTTGAGTATCCTTCCTGGGAAGACCCTCGGAACACCGGCTGTGTCTTCTGCTGACAGCCAGGACCTGACTTCCAATCCTGGGCTCTGTCTGAAGGTGGAGACCATGGAGGTGCCTGAAGGCTGCTGTGGACAGCTAAGGACATTTTTCTCCCTTTTCAAAGACCTTGCCTCCTTCTGGAGCTTCCAGCCTCTTCCTTCATCCCTATAAAAGCATAGCTATTTTTGGCAGACTTGTACACTGAGCCAGGTTCTCACGCTCAGCAGAGGAAGTGGGGGGAGGGTGGTGTCAGCAGAGGCGGCCTAAGGGAAGGAGGGCAGGGGCTTGAGGGGAGGGGGACACTCTCCTCGTCTTCATTCTCTTGGGCTGCTATCACCGAAACACCACAAGGGGTGGCTTTCACAAACAGAACTTTATTTTCTCACAGTTTAAGAGGCACCAAGTCCAAATTCTGGGCACGGGCTGTGGAAGGCTCTCTCTGTTGGCTCTGGAGGAACTTTCTGGTCTCAGTTTCTCCAGCTCTGGCATTCCTGGGTTCCTTAGAGATCGCCAACTATCTGTTTCCCCTTTGTGCTTGTCTGTCTCTGTTCCCAATCGGTTCTTTTTGTATCTCAAAATTAAGTCGATTTAAGACTCACTCTACACTGATACGGAATCCTGGGTGTGGCGCTGCAGGTTAATGCGCTGGACTGCAAGGTCAGTTTGAACCACAAGATTGGTGGTTCAAGCTCACCAGCCACTCCTCGGAATCCTATACAGGGTTGCTATGAGTCAAAACCAACTAAAAGACACTTAACAACAACAACTACACTGATAATAAATCAGTACCTTAGCAGCCGTGGCAGTGTCATGGGTTACTCACTGGGCTGCTAACGGCAATGTCAGTGGTTGGAATCCACTAATCACTCCTTGCAAAAAAGATCAGGCTTTCTGCTCCCGTAAAGATTTATAGCATTGGAAACCCTATACAGCGATGCTCTGAGTTAGAACCAAGTTGACAACCACCACCACCACCTACACTGATATGGCCTCATTCATCTAACAAAGAAACCCCTATTTCCAAACGAGGTTACAGCCACAGGCAGTGGGGTTAGGATTCCAACCATATAAACATACATGGTGAGAAATGCGGAGGGAATCGGGGTATGGTGCTGTAGGATAAGGACTGGACTGCTAATCACAAGGTCAGCAGTTCAAACCCACCAGCTGCTCTGCAGAAAACTTACACTACATTGCTGTGAGTTAAAACTGGCACAACACTTTAAACAACAAACAATAACATGTGGGGTGCAGGGCGCATAATCTAATCCGTAACACCGTCCTTGATGCACTAAACTTTTTACAGTGCAAACCAGGCTTGCAGGAGTCCTGGTGGCAATATAGGAGAAGCACTGGACAGCTAACCATAAGGTCGGCAGTTCAAACCCACCAGAAGCTCCACGGGAGAAAGATGAGGCTTCCTACTCCTATAAAGACTGACAACCTTGGAAACTTTATGAGTCAGAATCGACTCAACAGCAGTTAGAGAGAGTGCAGTCCGGGTGCTACGAGCTGAAATCGGCTCACAGACCCCTTCTGCTATAATCCAGTGCTCAGGATTGATTCTGGGCTCATACCTGTGACCACAAATTCAACGTCAGAATTACGTTGTTGCTGCTGCTGCTGCTGTATTTAGGTGATGTCAAGTCCATTTTTGATTCATAGTGACCCCATGTGGCAGACTAGACCTGCCCCACTGGGTTTTCTAGGTTGTCATCTTCGTAGGTACAATTGCCAGGTCTTTGTCCTCAGAGCCGATGGGTGAGTGGAAGCTGTCAACCTTTCAAGTTAGCAGCTGAGTGTTTAACCATTTCACATTCTCCTGGGAAAGACGGACAGGCTGTCTCTCGAGGCCAACCAGGCAAAAGGGCAGCTGTGCCCACTTTCCCCAGACCGACCTCAGTACACAGTGTAGATCAGACCCCAGCAGGGGCACACACTCCCCAAGAGGATGAAGTACAACAGGTACCAGCTCTGTGCTGATATCACAACATACAGTCCTCCTAGAAGCCTCATCATGTCTAACACTGTCTGCAGTGGGGAAGCCAACCTCACAAGCTGGACATCTCAGACCCCGTGGCGCCATGCTGGCCCCCAGCACCGGCAGGCACGGGCTGCCATTGGCACTGGTGGTCTGTATCCGAGGTTGATGAGCGTCATGTTGATGTTCCTTGGCCACACCACTGTCCTTACCCAGGCGTCTGCCACTACCCAGGTCTCCAGGAAGCCTGCAGAGGACAATCTTCTTTCCTTTATTCCCCGCCTCTGCACTAAGCTGATCTGCCTGGTCCATGGCGAGTGAACCTGACTTTACTCCTTTCGTATTCACAGAGTCCCATTTCCCCATGCCTCTTCCTTAGGTCCTCACTTCTGTTTTCCCACAGAGAAATGTCTCTCACTCCATTTCCAATCTACCGTGGAGACATGTCCAGGACATGGGTAAAGTCAGAAGGAAAATGGATCCCAAGTCTTTGCCTATCTGACAGGCCCTGCTTCCCCTCAGAGGACATACAGGCACCTGGCAGGTTCCAGGTCTCAGTGCCTCCGGAAGCCTGTGGTATTGGGGGACAATGTGAGCGAGGCTGCAGTCACCACTGTGGGCAAAGTCACAACCAGGATGACACCTGGGATCCTTCTGCCCTTTCGCTCTCACCGGCCCCTGCCTGTCCTGGTCCTCACTCACCTGGTAGGCAGCTTGTCTCATGAACTGCTTGGCAGGCTGTTTCCAGATGGCCGGCACCGTAATGACCCATCTGACATCAGAGTTCTCAAAGTCCGAACCTGCCTGGTCACTCAGCTCCTGAAGCCAAGGAAAAGATAACAGGTCAAGTGGGCACAGCTGGTCCCCAAAAACACCTTTCCTGCTTCACCCCTGCCAAAGACTCCTTTTCCATCAGGTCCAAGGAGAGGAAAATGTGTCTCTGGAACGTTCTAAGACCTCAGTGTGCCCATCTGTAAAATGGGAATAACAAACCTAATACATAGCGATACTGATAAGACTGAATGAAAACCAATGTGAAGCATCGAGCCAAAGCCTTGTGCTGATCATCACTCTCTCCTACCCTCTACTTTCCCTTCCTGTTGCTGTAGTCACAGATAAATCTGAAATTACACCTAAACACACACTGATGTACATATACATCAAAACTGGCCCTGCAGACACACTTCAGATTCATAAGCTGATAAAATATTCATTTCGGTTATTTTGTTGTTTTTTTGTTTGATGGGCATCTGATCTTGCCTTTTGTTTCAAATAGTTAAATTGGGTGTGATCCACCCCGTCACTGAATTAGCTTCCTCTTTGATCAGTGAATTCTCGTAGAAATCTGTTTTAAAAACATCTCTGCTTTGGCCTAATATGAAACAAGTGTTCTTTTTATCATAATATTTTATCCGTCACAGGTCTGCACTGGGCTTTAGAGCAGGTGAGCACTGTGACAGGTTCGGAGAATGGCCCTACGCATGGCATCATTACCACCAGGGTTATTCAGAGCGCTGTAGGATAAAGCACCGGACCACAAGGTCGGCAGTTCAAACTCATCAGCTGCTCCTTGGAAACCCTATACAAGGCCGCTATGAGTTGGAACCAACTCGATGGCACTTAACAACAACAACAAATAGAACAGGGGTTCAAAACACCACTGGGGCTCTTCCTCGGGCTGCAGGAAGTGTTTCCAACTAGGCAATTCCTTCACCAGTGAGCGGAAAAGGGAGGGAAAGGAAACTGACAAGCACTTGGCTGCTAACCATGAGGTCACAGGTTAGAACCCGCCAGTCACTCTGTAAGAGATGGTTATGCACATCTGCTTCCATAAGGATGACATCATTGGATCCTCTATGGGGCAGTTCTCTGTCCAATAGGATCACTGGGAGTCAGAATTGACTAGAGAACGCTGGGTATTCTGTTTTGCCTTTTTATTGTCAGTTACTTTAACTTGCTTTCCTTCATGAACATCGAAATTGCATCATTTGCTGTGACTTCTGAGAAACCCTTACTTTCATCTCTTCTGGTCAAACATGCAGTGACTCCTCCCCTCGGCGAGTCCTTCTGTCCTCTGTGAAGGACCAACACGCTGAAAACCCAGATGCTGTGGAGTTGACTCACACACAGTGAGCCCCCGCTCCTGGACACCTCCACCTACCATGCAGAGCCCACTGCTGTGGGCTTACCTTCAGAGCCTGCTCCTTAAAGTACTGCAGGGCATACGCAAAGATTTCAAGAGCTTTCACCTTCTTGCCATTGGATGCCATCAGGTCAGTCTCCATGGTGAGGTCCTGGTTGGGGGAGAAAGCATGAGGCAGTGGGGTGATGATGCGAGAACACCCACCTCCTGGCTCTAAGGACTCCTTGTTGGAGGGAGTCCTGGGGGGTCATGCCTGTGTGTCCAGATGTTTGAGAAGTAGGCTGGGATGGAGGGTCCCCCAGAGGAGACTCTGCCTCACAGCCCCCACCTCCACTCCCTGCCCTCTTTCTCTTTCTCTCTCCCTCTCTCTCCTGGCTCCTCCAGGATCAGAGGTTTGGAGTTAATGACAGTGCCAGGGAAAGAAAAAAAAAGGAGCAGCCGGCACTCCCGATTACATTTACATACTATTTCCAACACACACCATCACCCTTGGGAGTTCCCCTAATGGAGGCAGAAATCAGCCAACTCGATGCTGTGAATGACACTAAGCAGACATGAAGCTTTCATTCTCCAGAGCTGCCAACCAAGTAAGCAAAATATCCTAAAGCTTGAGCTACCTAATCCCTCGAGAGTCCAGCATCATAACCTCCTCTCTGCCAGGAGCCAGAGGAGCTGCTGAGGAAGCACAGTCCTTGGATGGAGGATGCTCGTGAGAGCTCAGGTGCTGGTGGCCAGGGGTCATTAAAAAATGATGAGGGCAACCCGGGAGAATGGAAGGGGTGGAGAGTGCAAGCAAAACACAAGAGAAGCCCCCAAGTCACCAAGAGGCTCTTTACTGCTAGGGGAAAGTCCGCAGGGACTCAGACTGATCCAGGCTGGGTAATTCTGGGTAATTATGCACCGCCTCTGGACCTTAAAGGGGCACTGAGTCACTAACCCCAGCCTTGTGGTGTCTGCATCCCTCCTCCTAACATAGCCTTCAGCTGCCTCTCTTCCCTGTGTGTGCTATTGGGCGGTGGATCCCAGGCTCAGAAGGGGGTCCAAGCACCAGGAAGCCCCTCCCCCCCCCACCCCCGCCGGCTTGGAGGGGAAGCCTGTGCTGTACTGATAGTTAGCACTGGATTCCACCAGGGGCTTACCATCTACCTTGAAAACGCCGCTATCATTACCCCATTTCACAGATAAGGAAAACCACGCCACAGAGAGACTGAGGAACTTGGATTAAGTGTCTTGAAGCTAGCAGAGACAGCATTTAAACCCAGGCGGGAGAAAGATGAGGCTTTCTACTCCCGTAAAGATTTACACCCTCGGAAACCCTGTACAGGGTCGCTATGGGTCGGACCCGACTCGATGGCACTTAACAACAACAACAACAACAACAAGTCTGACCCCAGGAGCTGTGCCCGAGGCCTTAAACACTATGCCTTTCATTTCCTATTCTAAGTACCAGGAGTTAAAGAATGTGTGAGGATAAAATGCTTACACTGAAAAACACTTCTATCCAGCACCCCACCTCCCCGCTGACTCTGCTTAATTGCCTTAGTTTGCATACTTATTGACATCCAGCATCTTGGTCCAGTTGATGGGAGCAGAGGACAGAGTTTAGGGACATGACCAGCAGGGCACCTGATTTCCTGAGCTAAACCCTGTCCCACACAGAAAGCTGGTGCACCAGTTGTTACTGGTTGTCAACTCCAGGATGGCCAGTTAATAGCCACTGTCCCCGCTCTCCAGATGTCTCCAGTCTCCATGTTCCTCCTTCAGGATCCACGAAGGCCAAGCAATGCAGCAAGTGAAGGATTAATTTCTGCATAACAGCGTACCCCCATGCTACAGCCACCGTCCAGTCTGATGGGCCCATTTCCAAGTCAGGCAAGTCGTCAAATACCTGACGATCTCCTGCCTGCATATACACCAGCAAGTGCTCAGAGAGTGTGAGTACTCCCGGTCGGGTCGTTTCTAAATACAAACTCAGTGCACATGCGCTTCTGCCTGGGAAGCGTCTGAGGAGCCCTGGGTTGGAAAGCTCCCCCAAGGCTGGAGGCCCAGGACTCCGACTTGGGGTGGGCTGAGGCTTGCTTACCCCAGTGGTGTGCAGCTTCATCTTGAACTTTTCCAGGTATAGCCACTGCTTGGCCTCGTTGGGGTCCAGGTCATGGTAGAAGTCCCTGGCTGCGTAGCCGAAACTGTGGAACCTCCGCTCAGGCGTCAACAACATGGTGGTTGGAGTCTTCTGGTTGGACACACCAGGGTCACCTCCTTCCCATCGCCTGCCACCAAGGAAAGGGCAGAGGTTATGGGAGCCCCGTTGCCCTGGCTGCACTTACCTGAGCATCCACTGTATGCACGACTGTGATGCATGTGAGAGCTCACAGGAGCTGGGCCAGTGGTTGAGCAAGGGACTGGAAACTCATCTACAGGTCCAAAGAAAACCGAGGGGAGCAAGTTCCCAACTTCTCACTCAATATACAGGTTTGCCTGTATCTCCCACTCGGCATTTACTGAGCACCTACTCTGAGCTCTGGTAGCATAGTGGTTATGAATCGGTCTGCGAACCACAAGGTCAGCAGTTCAAAACTACCAGCTGCTCCACGGAAGAAAGATGAGCTTTCTGCTCCCGTAAAGATTTACAGCCTCGGAAACCCTGTTCAGGGTCGCTATGGGTCAGAATCGAATCGAGGGCACTTAACAACAACAACTGTGTGCCAGGCACATGTCTCCCGCTGCCCTCTGAGGGGCTCCTCACTTGTACCATCAAACTCAGTAGAGCCAGCCCAATGGGTCTGTAATGTCCCCTGGCCAACTTCCCAGTCCAACTCCATCTGGATGCAGACCCCATAGTGACCTCATGGAGACAGGGATGATCCTGACCCTCTGAGCAGGCAGATCCCAGAGCCCCCGGCCCTTGCAGCAGCTCCACTGTGACCCGAATCACTAAGAAAAAGACTCCTGTGCTCTGAACGCCGAGGTTAAGTGCTTGAACCCACCAGCTGTTCCACGGAAGAACACAGAGGCAGTTTGCTTCTGTAAAGAATTACAGCCTCGAAACCCTATGGGGCAGTTCTACTCCATCCTACAGGGTCGCTGTAAGTTGGAATCGATTTGACGACAATGGGGAAGGTTTGGTTTGGTGTTTCTGACCAGTTCTAAGGAAGGTCAGCAGTTTGCTCATTGGGTCTTTTCATTACAGGAAGCACTCATGGAAAACCAAATGGAATAGGAGCCAAAAGTGTTTGCCCCAGGGAGAGGCCCAGCAATTCAAGCAACAATATGAATTCTCTTTATTGTCTCTACAGACACCAGTGCTTATCCAAGTTAGCAGCAACAAGTCTCGTGAATGCAGAGGGAACAGCAGCCCACCCATGCCCTCCTCAAGCAGCCCTATCCCAGAAGTTATAGGATATCGGGTTTCAGTTGGGCTCAGTACAGAGGGCACAGTGTAGAAAATACAGAAAGCCTGGCTCCCTCTCAAGGCCCACGCTTGTTTTCAGCACCCATCCTGCGGGCTCTCCCCAGAAGGAACCTGAGCGGCCAGCAGAAAACAATCTCCACCAGCGCTACTGTCCACGTGAGTGGGGCCACGTGGGGACCCAGGACATCTTTCTGCAACATCTGAAACCTACAGAAGAAATCCATGTTCACATAAAAAATCAGAAAGCCAGGGTGAATTTCGTTGTTGTTGTTAAGTGCCTTCGAACCTCTGTGGGGTTTCCAAGGAGCTGAGGGAAAAGACAAACCAGAAGTCCATGAATTGACGGGGGAGGAGGGACCAACAGTGCAGTCTCTAGCAGAACTGCACCCACATCCACCATTTCTTGACCATGAACGGGAACAAGTGGCTTGGCCCCTCCAGGCCTCATTTCCCTAATCTGTAAAATGGAGGTATTAAAAACACCTGGCTTGATGGGTAACTTAGACACTGGCTACCCAAAATGAGGTGTGTGTGTGGGGGGTGGGAGTATAAAGGCAAGAAGTGACTGGCTTACAAGCTTTCAAGAGGGATCCTGGTTCCAGATGGGGTGGGGGAAGGTAGAACCACCACTGAGTGATTTCCAATCTGTTGGACCCAGGCTGGTGAAAGGAAATGGGGATAAGACTCTTGTGGTACAATAGTGAATAATTGCCATCAGGACTGACTGTGAGGGTCAGAAATACAGAGGTAGATGTTTTTTGACAAAAGAAGGGGAGAGATTGATTTTGCGGCCCAGGAGCAGAGGTCACTGGGACCATCAAGTGAGAAGAACGGAGAGAGTGACCACTACCCAGAAAGGCAGTGACGCCAGGGATGGAGACAGAGACGATGTGGTGGGCAGATGGAGTGGCTGGGGACACTGGACTCAGGGAGGGAGAGGGGCTGTGTGCTGGCAGCCGGAAGGCAGGCCTGTGGGGTATACCCTTTGGTTATTGATGATGCATGGAGGGGATCGTAATCATTGCAATGAAATGAAATATGATAGGATGAGTGTAAAGCTGATGTTCTCCCATGTAAACCTCACAATAAAAAAAAGAAAATTTAAAAACCTGGCTAGGGACATACCATACATAAAGTGCTCACAAATCAGCTGCCACTCACTAATGTAGGTATTATCATTCCTATTATTGCAGTCAGTATAACCAGCGTGTCAGGTGGGTTCCCACCCAGGCCAACCCCATGTGTGTCAGAGTAGAACTGGGCTCCTCTCCACCCCAACAATGGCTGATTTATTGGTGTGTATCACCAGGCATTTCCTTCCAGTTGCCTCAGGGTGGACTGAAGCTTCCAACCTTTACTTTCGCAGATAAGCATGTAAACTGTTGTTGCTATGTGCACTTGAATTGGTTCTGACTCATAGCAGCTCATTCCTCCCATGGTGCCACTGGGCGAGTTTGTGATCCCAACCTTTGTGCCAGCAGGACTCCTTATCCACACTCCACCTTTCACAAACGGGCTTTCCATTTCTCTTAATAGTGACATGAGCTTACGCCCTTCCTATGTTTACTCCTTCATGCCTATGTACACATTAACTTTGCTCCAAAAATGAAAACAGTGTCGGTCTACATCCTGGGTACACTACTATGTTCTGATTGGAATATAATTCAGAGGTAAATTCTCTCCAAAATCTCTATAACAAAATCTCCATTGCTGTTGTTAAGTGCCATCAAGTCAGTTGCAACTCACAGCAACCCTATATAGGCTTTCCAAGTAGCAGCTGCTGGGTTTGAGCTGCTGACCTTGAGGTTCCATATAAATGGAGAAAAGAATGAAGTTGTCAAGGACTTCGTTTTGTATAGATCAACGATCAACACGCATGGAAGCAGCAGTCACGAACTAGGGTGATGTATTGCATTGGGCAAATCTGCTGCACAAGACCTCTTTTAAGTGCTGAAGAGCAAAGATTGAGGACTAAGGTGTGCCTGACCCAAACCATGGTATTTTCAGTAATCTCATATGCATGTGAAACTTAGCTTGTGAATAAAGAAGACTGTAGAAGAATTGATGCATTTGAGTTATGGTGTTGGAGGAGAATAGTAAAAGTGCCACGGACTGCCAAAAGAACCAACAAATCTCTTTTGGAAGAAGTATAGGCAAAGTGCTCCTTGGAAGCCAGGATGGCCAGACTTCGTTTCTCATTGGACACATCTTTGGACACATTGTCAGGAGGGACCAGTCACTGGAGAAGGATATCATGTTTGGTAAAGTGGAGGGTCAGAGACAAAGAGGAAGACCCCCAGCGAGATGGATTGGTACAGTGGCAGCATCAATGGGCTCAAGCATAACAATGACAGTGAGCTTGGCCCAGGATCAGGCAGTGTTTCCTTCTGTTGTGCATACGGTCACTATGAGTTGGTACTGACTCGATGGCACCTGACAACAACCTTGAGGTTCACACAGACCTTGCTGTCCAGTGCTTATCCTAGAGCACCACACCCGGACTAGCAGCCCTCCCAAAGCAAGTTCAAAGCTAGTTCCTCCTTCTTTTCTGTTTTCCTTACATGACTGTCCCGTGGAAACCACGTTTCTCAGCACAACTACCTGAAAACTGATCAACACAGCTTCTAGCTTTAACAGCATGCTCTTTTCCATTGGTGTATTCTACCTCATGGGTCTCTGTCAACAGAGAAAGCCCTCGGGCCCAGAGGACTCTGCTGTCAGCGGGTACTCTGGTAGACCCGACTTTTCATTATGTCCTGATGGGAGAACTCACTTGTCTCTGGGGCCTCTTAGGACAAGAGCCTCAGGCTGAGTCTCATCTGGTTGTCAAGAGGACTGGGGTGCAGACTGCTTTATCATGACTTGTGCTTTATAAAAACACCTAAAATCTGACTCGGGAAGCTGTAGCTCAATTACACAACTGCTCTGTTGAAGGAACTGCAATAACACATTTTCAGAGGCATCCCTTGAAATGGAAATTGGGGCGATAAATCCCTGGTTTCCAGTAGTTTCAAGGACAGCTGACTTTTCAGGAAGGCCATGGGCCAGAGTAGGGCAGTCAATGATGGGTGATCAGGTAGACCAGAAGTCCTCATGCACATCCATTTACAATGTGTGTGTGCATAGGGGGGTGGGGTGGGGGGTGGTGGAATTGTGTGCACTGGGGGAAGGGCGCATCTGGAGCACAGAATGCATCCCAGGAGACTCCAGTCAACTTTGCTTTCTGGGTTCACTGGGCTGCAATTTTGTCTTTATCAGGCGTGGTGCTTTTGGTTTCTGGTCACTATCACTGATGGTTGTTCTTCACCTGGAAGAATTATCACCTTCCTACTGGTGTGGCTCTGTAGGATCAGCACTGGACAATGAACCACAAGGTCGGCAATTCAAACCCACCAGCTGCTCCTCAGAAAGCCTATACAGGGTCGCTAGGAGTAGGAATCGACTCAATAAGTGCTTGACCTCAACAACTACTACTTCTATTTTACCATGGATATGCATATGATTGAAGTGTGGTGGCTCTGAAGGATAAGCACTGGACTGCAAACCACAAGGTCAGAGGTTCGAGTCTACCAGCTGCTCATCAGGAGAAAAATGAAGCTTTCAGCTCCTTCCAAAGATTTACAGCCTTGGAAACCCTATAAAGGGTCACTTAGGGTCAGATCTGACTCGACAGTGTTAACAACAACAATGTGCACTTGATGGGCATTCTGGTTGGCAGCCAAGTGTATTCAAACAGTTAATGCACTTGGCTAACAACCAAAATGTTGGAGTCCACCCAGGGATGCCTTGAAAGAAAGGCGTGGCAATCTAGTTTGAAGAAAAAAAAAAAAAAATCAATCATTGAAAACCTTATGGAGTCCATCCAAGGCACAACAATTGGTCTCTATTCACCTGGAGGGCCAGAGGGAAGAGAGTCAGGAATAGGAGGAGGAAATGGAATCAAGTCTGCATGTGGTTGATGTGGGGCTACCATTATTGAACACCACGACCAAAGATTCCAGAGGAGAGCCCTGATTAAAACCAGGGAAATGAAGGGCAGAATTTCAAATTCTCTACACTTTCTGGAGCCATGGAGGGTGGAGAGCCCCTAAAACTAGTGCTCCGAGATTATCCTTAAACTTTAAATAAATCAGACATATCCCCTGATGTCATCTTAAAGTCGAACTACAGTTAAAAATGGCTGCCATAAATTCTATGCTCTTTTAAGAACTATGTATGTGGAGGCCAATAGACAAGAGTAACTTAAAGACGAGACAAGACCCTTAGGGGCCAGTGAGTTTATGTCAGTGAGGGAGGGGTGAGAATGGTTACACAACCTGAAAGGTATAGTCAATGTCACTGAATTGTATGAGGGGGCTTCAGAAAGTTCATGGAAAACATCCATTATCTTTTCATTCCATTTTCCACAAATTTTTTGAAGCCTCTTTATATATGCGGAAACTGTTGAGTTGGTATAAGCTTTGTTGTGTGTGCTCTCAACAACAACAAAATAAATAAAATGTAGGGGAAAAAACAAAACCCTACAAGGCAGAGTTCTACGCTGATACACATGGGGTCACCAAAAGTTGGAGTCGGTAAGACAACAATTGGTAAACACTTGGAAGAAATTTTTCTTCAATCACACACAGGCTCTGTGAGGTAGACTCTGCATGGCCCCACTGAACAGACGGGAAGACTGGGGTGTAACAGGTTCAGTGGTTTCCAAGGATCATACAGTAAGTGGCCGAGTCGGTTCCTGGGTCATATTCATCCCAGACACTGTCTATTCAGTGCCCTTCACTGCACACTGGAATCACTGAGGTGGGGTGAGGTGGGCTTGGGGGAGCCAGGTTTCAAACACACCATTGCCCAGGCCCCACCCCAGACCAACTAAAGCAGAATGAAACCAACCTTTTATAGACCCAAACCCTGGAGCCAGAAGTGGCTTCCCCAAAGGGGCACGGTAAGTTTGGGCTGAGCCAGGCCTGAGGGCCCTTCCTCCTATGGGCTCACTGACTAATGCTTCTCCTGCCCCCCAGTGTCCCCAGGTCTCCTCAGAGCCGTGACCACATGACTAGGACTCCCCAGTGCCCCTGCATCACCTCATCACGTGGATGCACTCCGGCTCCTTGGTAAAGCTGTAGGCATAGCCACTGGACGTTGTTCCAAAGTCAATGGCGACCACCACGAGAAATGTCTGCTGCTCTGAGACATTCGGGTCAGCGTCGTTCTGCAGGAGAGAGAGGCCGGGTTAGGGCCGGGAGGGAGGCCGACCCTGGCTTCCAGGGAGATGGCCCTGGTGGCTCCATCCCTGCCCAGTCATGTGCCCACTTCACACTGAAGCACATTCCGGCTCCAGTCGGCCACATGGCAAGCTCTGGGGAGGGCCTGGACAGACTCAGCTCCCACTGGAGGAGTTTCAAAGGAGGTGGCCCTGACATGCTGGCAGCTGCCCAGTCTGAGAGGAGGGTCAGGCCCACTGGCTGAGGGCACCTGTCTGCAGCTCTCCCACCCCTTCCTTTACCACCTGCACAGGAGCATGGCTAACAACACACATTCTACCAACAGGGTCAGAAGTCCGGAGGCTGCAGTCCCAACACCCTCCCGAGTCCTGTGCAGACTCCAGTCACTGCCCAGAGCTCTTTCCTTAGGCCCCTGGTACCTGTCCTGTATGCCCATGTTCTCTGTGTAAGTGGGAAGAGCCAAGGAGGCCAGTACTCTAGGGACCCGCCCCCTCCTCACCTGCCCAGTAAGTCAGCCAGGACAGTCCAGGCCTGCAATTCTTTTCTTTAAAGTAGTTCAGAGTTTTAAAAAAAAATCCCATGTTGTTGTTGAGTCCTGGTGTTGTTAGGAACCGAGTCGGTTCCGACACCTGGTGACCCTACAGCCAACGGAAGGACACACTGCTCCGGGTCACCTTCACCTCTGTGATGCTGAAGTCCACTGTTATCACCACTGTGTCAATCCATCAGGTTGGGGGCCTTCCGCCTTTCTGGTGACCCTCCACTTTGTCAAGTATGACGTCCTTCTCAAGGGACTGGCCCTTCCTGATGACATGCCCACAGTATGTGAACTGACGTCCAGCTGTCCTAGCTTCTAAGGAGCATTCTGGTGTGTCTTCTCCGGATATTGACTAAAACGAGAGCACCTTGGTGGTGCAGTGGATTAAACGTTGGACTGCTAACCTCAAGGTTGATGGTTCAAACCCACTGGATGCTCTAAAGGAGAACGTTAACATTGTCTGCTCCCATAAAGATGTCGTCTTGGAAACGTTAAGGAAAAGTTTGACTATCCTATAGGACCTCTATGAGTCAGAATCAATTTGATGGAAGTGGATTTTGTTTTGTTTTGGGTCAAGCAGAGAACCCTGCCCACTGGCCTCCCTTCACCTTGACCCCTTCCCCACGTGCCCCAAGGTGAACCTCAAGCTCTTGCAGGGAGCCCTCAGGAACTTGGTGAAAAGCGACCAGCCCTCCCAGTTTGTCCAGGACTAGGACTCCGGGTGTAGCGTTGCAGGATCAGCCCTGGACTGTGAACCACAAGGTCATCAGTTCAAACTCACCAGCAGCTCCTCGGAAACCCTCCACAGGGTCTCAATGAGTCACAACTGACTCGATGTCACTAAACAACAACAGAGGAGTTTCAGGGTTAGGAAAACCGGGACAAACAGACATCCTTTCCTGGGTCTCAGCAAGTCCCCTTTAGGGAGCCAAGATGGTGAGGAAAAGCTGCCCTACCCACTGGGTGCCTGTCCTGAGGATCTTTGACAACAGTCATCTGCTTGTGAAGTTCAGGGTAGAGAGGACATCCTGCTCAGGTCTCCCTGGCTAAAGGCTGTGAGGCAGTTATACTGGTCCCAGTTTTGGAGAGGACAGTGGACTGCAGCTGGCCAACACTCTGTCATCATGAGGGTCACTCACACGGACTCATCCCTCCAAGTGGAGGACGTCCAGGCTCTGAGGCCTGGCTCTGCAAAAGGCTGTGCCCAGGTCACCCCAGCCAATGGCTGCAGAAGCCCTAGCCACAACAGGGGCTACATGAAGGTGCAAAAGTGTCAAGAGTGGCCCTCCAGAGCCAGCCCTTTGCTCATACACATAGGGACAACCCTCAAAACTGGGACAAAAGACTCAGGCAACAGCTACCTGTCCCAGTCTCCATCAAAGGCTCACAGCTGTGATACAGAACTTCCTGTGCACCACTGGGAGCATCCTGAGTCTAGTTCACAGTTCTCAACTACATCTGCAGTAACCATGACTAGCACATCCAAACAGTGCCTTATTAGTATCCTTGGAAATGCAACCTGAGCCTCTGAGCCTCAGTTTCTGCATCTGTAAAAAGGGAGCAATAGTGGCTTCAAAAGAATCAATGAGATCACAGAGGCATGGCATGTAGCGTGTGGCTGGCACATGGTAAGTGCTCACAGATCGCAGGCTACTTAACATCGCAGGCAGGATTAACATCTTCAACCTTTTCAGGCACAGGGTGGGATAGGGACTTGTCTGCGCTCCCAGGCTGGTTCCAGATCAGCTGAATGAATCTCTGCCCAGCAAGTCTATCCTGGGTGAGCAGACCCAGAAGTAAAGGGGGTCAGTGCAGCTCCCTCCTGTGTCAACGCACAAACACACCCCTCATTTCTTACCACAATATGAGAAGGGGACAGAGGTGTGATTCCGGTCTCCCCCAGGCTTCGGGCAGGAGACGAATATGCAGATGTGGGCGCTGCCTCTGAAAGAAAAGACAAATACAACCTTGAAGTGATATGTGGTGATCCCTGAGCAGGAACGGGCTCCAGGTGGCTTTACCTGAGAAAACCGCTAAGGTGGTGGGTAAGGCCGAAACCAACCATAAAGGCAGGGGTTTGTCTGCGACCTTGTAGTTGTATTTACAACGGAACCAAACAGACGCTCTTTCTCTACATCTGCTGCCTCAGCCCTACTAAGCAGGAGGTGCGGATTCCAGCTGAGTTCTCTGTTGAGCCGGTCCTTAGCCCGGGCACCATGCTGGACCAGAGGAACCTGTGGTCACCTCGTATACACACAAATGTCTGTGTGCAGTTGCTGGGAAGAGGCTTCATAGCCCTCAGCTTCCCAAAGTGGTGAGGGATCGCCAAAAGATTAACAACCCCATTGGGGTTCAGTGATGGAATTCTCCCCTTCCACATAGGAGTCCTGGTGTGGCGCTGTAGGATAAGCACTGGACTGTGAACCACAGATCAGAGGTTCAAACCCACCAGCTGCTCTTTGAAAACCCTATACAGGGTCCCTATGAGTCGTAAACGACTCGAAGGCACTTAACAACAACAACAGCAAATACAGGAGACCCGGGTTTATTCCCAACCTGTGACATCAGAGCAGCCCCACCCGTCTGTCCATATGAGGCTGCTGTTGTCACGATACTGAAAAGGTTTCAACAGAGCCTCCAGGTTAAGAAAGACTACAAGAGAGGCCTGGCGACTACTTCCAAACATCAGCCAACAAAACCTCTACGAATCACAACGATCCAATCCACAAACCGTCAGGGGAATGGCTCCGGATCAGGCAGTGCTTGGTCCCCTGTGCCTGAGATTGCCATGAGCCGTCGGCCGACTTGAAGGCAGCTAACAACCACAACCACAATCCTAAAGCAGTAGGTTGGGAGCCCTGCACTCCCTCTGGCATAGGGGCCTTGCTGCAGCCTGGTGACCTCTGCTCTTCAGTGACACTGAGAAGTCTTGACATTAAGGAAACACCAGCAAAAAGACAGCTAGATGAGTACTTATGCTCTGGGCAGACAGAGCCCAGAAACAGACATAAGGTCAACTGGGAGCAGGGCCGACCGCCAGCGGCAGAACTCATGTTGCAGACTGCCCTGCTGCCCTTGCAATTACCCGGCCACAGACATTTGCTCTGAAACGCTGCCAGGGTGGAGTGGCTTCCCCAGGGACTAGCACCCACAGAGCGGTCACAGTCCTAAGCCAGGGATGGGATGCTTAGCAAATGTCTCTCAACCAGGGTCAGCACGGGCAGAGCATCAAGCATGCCTTCTCACTGTCACTACAGAGACCACAGCCAGACTCGGAGCAACTACACACACCAAGGCTGCAAGGGTGCTCTGCAAACCTGCTCCATTTAGACGGTCAGCCTCGAGGGGACTCCACACACCGGGTCCTGTGCAAACTCACTCCATTTAGTTAGTACACACACTTATCCCTGGCTAGGGAAAAAAAAAGAGGATCATTTTCTAAAGAATAATATGCTGGTGGCACAATGATTAAAGCACTTGGTTGCTAACCAAAAAGGTGCAGAGTTTGGACCCACCAGTCACTTCACAGGAGACCGATGTGGCAGTCTACCGCCATAAAGACTAGTCTAGAAACCAAGTTATGTGTTGCACAAATCTGCTGCACAAGACCTCTTTAAAGTGCTGAAGATGTCAGTTTAGAGACTAAGGTGTGCCTGACCCAAGCCATGGTACTTTTCAATAACCTCATACGCATGTGAAAGTTGGACGGTGAATTTGAAGGTACAAGAGTTGATGCATTTGAGTTACGGTGCTGGAGGAGAATATTAAAAGTACCATGGACTGCCAAAAGAACCAAACAGATCTGTGTTGGAAGAAGTATAGCCAGAATGCTCCTTGGAAGGTCAAACTTCGTTCCTCATACTTAGGGTATAATGTCAGGAGAGACTAGTCCCTGGAGAAGGATATCATGTTTGGTAAAGAGGAAGGTTGGAGAAAAAGAGGAAGACTCCCAATGAGATAGATTGGCACAGTTGTAGCCTCAATGGGCTCAAAGGTAGCAATGATTCTGAGGTTGGCCAGGACCAAGCAGTGTTTCATTCTGTTATCCATAGGGTCGCTATGCATCAGGACCAACTCGATGGCACCTAACACCAATAGAGTTAATACAAGTTGGAATCAACTTGATTACACACAACAACAATTTGCTAAAGTAATACTTGGAGCCAAAGAAATCCAGAGGTTTGAGGTGGTTGTCACAGGCCTGTCTCCTGCTAGGCCTGGTCATTCCACCTGCATCTTCTGCCAACTCACTGAGATGATCCCTGGGCTCTTATTGATTTTGTTCTGCTTGGTAGAAACATCATCATTCATCACAGTGACTGTGAAGCCTAACATCTATACGGCCACCTCCTCTCTCTGTCTGCTGATGGTCTCTCTCTCCCCTGAGGAGGCTCAATTCCAGCCTCAGACAGAAAGGTGCATAGTCAGGCAATTACAGAGGCAGGAAGTCAACTTGCTTATCTGAGAGGGGAGGCTCTTTACCATTCCTATGGGCATCATCGTTCAGTGCTCTTGAGAAAAGAATTCAGAAAAATAAGTCGGCTCCAGGCGTCCCTAGGTGGCACAGGTGATTAAGTGCTGGAGTGCTACTGGAAAGGCTGGTGGTTCAAATCCATCCCCAGAGGTACCTCGGAACTAAGGACCAGTGATTTGCTTCCAAAGGTCACAGTATATTGAAAACTATGGAGTGTAGTTCTGCTCTGCACACATGGGGTCCCATGAGTGGAACTGACTCATTGGCAATCAGCAACAACAAAGACAGTTCCTGGACCAGCCAGCTAAAGTCCACCATTCCCTTTCTTTACCGAGTTCCCAGAACAAAGGCACCTTTCCGTAGAGACAGAGGAGGCTGGGCTCTGTACTAGGGGGTCCTGCCAGATGGTCCTTCCACCTGTTGACACAGCCCACGCAGCCCAAGGCCCCTGGGGCGAGGCCATCCAGCCAAGCTGGGAGCATCCTCTCTCCACCTGCTACCTGGAAGGTCTGCGGCCATGTGTCCACATTTACACAGAAGGTCTTGGAAGAAACCAAATGTCTAATTGCCCAGGAAATCTGGTGCTGGCAATTAGCAAACAAGCTATTATCTGCAGACTAACCATCCACCCTGCTGTCTGCTTGGTTCTAATTACCCCATCACTCAGCCCTGCTCGGAGCGTGTCCCTGGATTGTTCCACCGACTTACAACAGAGCATGTGTTAAGCCACACACTGAACACATGCCTTGGTCCCCCAGGGAACTCCCGAAGATACTTGAGGACAAGAACCAAGAAAGTTCTGGGTCTCCTTGCAACCTCCCCTAGTCTGTCCAGTAAAGTAATATACAAATTATCCGACGAGCTCCTCACTCAGCTAGGACTGGATACCATTGAATTTCACAGACTTTCTCCATCCCAAATCCAAATCCAGCTACATTGTGCAATGCTTTAATGGATCTGAAGATAAGGTATGGAGGAGTGACATTTTTCTAATATAGATTCATACATATCACATACACCCACACCTCTGTCTATTTCAAAGCACAGGTGAGTCCTCAGCTACTCTCCATCAATTCAGCACAGAAATATACAAACCCCTGGTGACAAATGTGTTCTCAAGCTAGTATTTCTTCACTTATTTAGGATGCCAAACTGGTGCTCAAAGTTCCTTGGGGAAAAGAATATAAAAAGACAACCTGATCCCTGAGGAGTTCCAAAAGCTTACATCCGGTGTACTAAGAGTCTTAAGAAGGCCAGGAATCATTCATTCAATGGATAAACAATTAGGAACAAAAACAAAAGGACCAATGGAATATCAGCAATGAATGGATTGACTTTTTTTTTTTTTAATGTTTTATTGTGAATTATGTGATAGTTTACATGGGAGAACACTGGTTTTACATTCATTCTATCTTATATTGTCTCATTGCCATGGTTACAATCCTCTCCATGCAATCCTTCCCCCGTGTCCCCCAGGTCTTCAGCACACAGTTGCTCTCCCTGTCTGGATTGACTTTTGATGGTCTATTTGATTTTTCCTGCTAATTAATGGCAAAGCGAGTTGATAGATGAAACATATATATGTACAAAGTATATATGCTGTGTGTCCTGGTTACCAATTACACGTACATCATTACCCACAGTGAGAAAATCTGAATAGCATTAACTGTGGTCCTGTACACATTTCTTCAACAATAGCATCTTCCCCCACTACTTCTTCCTCTAATGTGAGAGTCCAGCTCAGTACAAACAGGTGGGCTTTGGCACAGGTGGAATGGAAGAGTTAGGCAAAGCCAAATGTTCAACAGGAATAGTGATTTTTATAATGTAATCTTCTGGTTGTTGTTGTTAAGTGCCATCGAGTCGGTTCCAACTCATAGTGACCCTGCATAGGGTTTCCAAGGAGTGGCTGGCGAGCCTGAACTATCAACCATGTGGTTCAAACCAACCTTGCAGTCCAGTGCATTAACCCTCAGCACCACACCAGGACTCAAAAAAAGAACCGTGGAGTCGGTTCCGACTCATAGTGACCCTGTATAGGGTTTCTGAGGCTGTAACTCTTTATGGGAGCAGAAAGCCTCATCTTTCTCCCGGGGAGCAGCTGGTGGTGTTGAACTGCTAACCTTTTAGTTAGCAGCTCAGCTTGTAATCCACTGCACTACTAGACCGTAGTGCAAACTAGGTGGAGAAAAAGGAAGCCAGTTAAAAGAAAATGCAAACTCGTCTGTGGAGGTAGTGAAGGAAGATTCGTAAAAGAGAGAGGAACGCAAAATGCTTTAGCAACTCAAGGGCAGAGCTGAGGGTTCTGAGAATTTACAGAATTTCCTGCTACACTGTTCCAGCAAGATTTTCAAAAGGTCCCCAACCCAAAGCCATCTTCTATGTCAACCCCTAAGTTACCCTGAAATCCAGAAGCTCAGGGAAATTCGGCGATGTCATATCACGGAATCAGAAAAAACAC